TCAGCAGGAGAACTGTGCTGGTCTCGGGCTGGGCTTATGGGGTCCTCTCTGCGCGAACCCCCCCCAAGACAAGTGAAAAGCCCCTTCCCTCGAGCGGGCGCCGGCTGGGGACACCCTGTGCTAGTGGCGATGGTGACTACACCTCCGTGCTGATAGCCCGCGGGTTCGGGAAGCTCTCGCGGAAGAGGCCGTGGCGGCTCACCGTGTAGCTTTGCAGGGCGGCCATGCTGATGGGCGGCCCCATCTCCTTGTAGCAGGCGGGGGCGTAGGTGACCCTCTCGCCCCCGTTGCGCACCATGTCGGCAGTCCGGATGTAAAAGGGGGAGCCGTAAGGGGAGCAGGTTGGGCAGTAGTTGTGAGCCCCGTGCTGGTTGAGCTCGCTGGCGGGGGGCACGGGGCTGCCCTGGCCGTCCACCATGCGGGAGTTGCAGGCGTTGCACGTGCCGAGGTGCGAGTGGGTGGGAAGGTCGGGCTCTTCCTCTTCCTCCTCCTCCTCCTCCTCTTCCTCATCGGAGTCATCTTTCTTGCAGCAGTAGTACTGCGCAAAAGGGAAGGGGTTACATTAGGGGGAGCAAGCAGCCAAGCGGGCACATTTGGCTTTACAGTGAGCCCTGCCGCATCCCCACTCCCCTCATCCCCCTACCAGAGAAACCCTCCGCCGGCCTCTCGCTGCTCTGCTCTGTTGGTACCTGGGTCCTGCAAGGCAGCAGGAGCGGGACAAGACGTGGCCTGAGCGTGCAGCAGGAGGCACCTGCTGGGGAACTCGTCCTCTCCCCTCCCAGTGAGGTTTGCGAGGGGAAGGTATTTTACCATGCCAGTTGGAAACTCCTCCAAGTAGCCGCTGTGCTTTTCATCACACGGGCGCTGCTGCATGGCACAGACTTCACATTAACTTTTAAAGAGCAGGAGGTTGTAGCTAGCTGTTGTTGAAAGCCTCTTCGTTTGTTTGGGGGGGGGGGCGGGGAGGGGAACCAAAAAAAAGTCTCCATCTGGTATTGCAAACCCAGCCAAGCCTACGCCTAAATTAGCAAGTGCTGTAGGTCCTCAAAAGAGAGGAGGAAAGAACATAACTCTGCAGCACCTGGGGGAAAAGGGGGTTTCACCTCCCTGCCCATCACGGGCAAGAAAACCCCCACCGAGACCCCTCCTGCAGCAGCAGTTCAGCCCAAGGAGCAGCAACGCTGCTGGGGTTTGTGGCGAGATGGGGAACGGCCACGCTGCTCACCTGTAGCCTACAGTAACAGAGCACAGCAATGATGCACAGTAGGATCACCGTTGCTAGAATTCCCCCGGTGATAACAACAGTTCCCGCTGTCATCCGACCGATTCTCCATCAAACTCTGAAAGGCAGGGCCACAGGGACATGTGTCACCCCGAGACATGAAAGTCACCCACCACGGCTTCGTCATCACATCACAGATGTGACACCCGTGAGGCGCCCCAAAATATCACATCCCTGTTCCTCCCTCCCCAACCGCAAAACTATTGCCCAGCATCATTCTCCTCCTCTTAGCGAGAGGACACCTAAGATGCAGCACCATGTCCCCTTGCTGCTATCGCTGCCTCTGGCGTGGGGTCTTTGGGAAACACCCTGCCATCCACCCGCAGAGCCTCCCCCCTTGCTGAGCCAAAATTCCCACCCTCCTGGCAGAAAATACAGCTGCTGCTTCAAAACGCAGAAGCAAACCTGGGTTTCCACTGGGAAAAGCCAAAGGGGAGCCTTTGAACTCCGCAACTCAGGCAATCTGAGCCCAAAAAAAACGCACCCCGGCAGCCTGCCGGGTCTAACATGGTCTTGGAATGACCCAAGCAGCCCCCACCGCTGTCCCTGTGCCACAGGACCTGGGGGCTACTTACGTTCAGTGACGGAGGCGTTGGACCTGAAAGGAGCAGAGGGAGAGGTTAGCCATGGCCTGCCAGCACCCCTCCCGTGCGTTTCCCTGCTTCCTGAGAATTTGCCTTGATTTGGGACCTGCAGGAAGCCCTCCTTCACGTCCCGCATCCCACAGGGACGGGGCTCAGCACGTGCCTGTGCCCCTGGGAGCCCCCGTGGTGCAAAAAGCATTTTGAGTCCTGCAAATGATGATGATGATGATGATGATGAAAATAAAATACTAATACTACTACTACTACTATTAAAAATTATCTTTAATTTGGAGCGGGGAAAGGAGGCATTTCCCAAGCTCGGAGAAATACTCTGCAGGACAAGGCTGTGCTATCAGCGGCTCGTGAATCACACAGCTTCATGGGGCGAAGGCCTGGCTTAGTCAGCACTTGGCCTTTTCCTCTTTAAAATTAATTATGGAGGAGGCGGATGCATCATCTCACAAGTGGACAATGTTTTATGTGCTGCTGGGAAAAAGGCTCTCCCCTCCATCCCCTCTGGGGCAGGCGAGCCCCAGCGTCCCTCCGCCACCCCACGGGCACCTACCTGGAAAAGGATAGGCAGGGCGTCGCGGTCACACCGGCCCCGGGGCAGCTGGCTGGGACAGACAGTGCTGCATGGCCACGGGGAGATGCTGACGGCCCTGGAAGGGAGGACAAGGAGAAAAACCCACCACCGTCAGCTCATCCCCGCTGCCCAAGGGGGCTGCCCAGTGTCCCCATGACTGCTGATGCCACCTCTGTCCCTGAGGCAGGGCTAAATAAATTGCTTTTTTAGGGAGACGGGCAGGAAAGGTGGGCGCTACAAAGGTAGGCAAACCCAAACCGCCAGGAAAGGACGATCCCACGCCCGAAACCTGCAATTTCACCAAAAGTGAGACTTGCACCCAAGAAGTGGGTGCACCCATCGCCCCCACCCTCCGGCGATGCCTGGCGCAACCGCATTTCATTACCGGCCTTCGTGTCCCTCTGTGCCTCGTCCAGAGCAAGGCTAATTGATAGGGCCCAAGTGCCAGCCGGTTGCAGCCGAGGAGATCTAATTACCTGCTCGCCACGTGGCCCTAATTGACGGAGGGAGGTGGCAGCTTCCAGACCTGCCCAGCTCTGCCCCAGCCCCTCACTGCTGCATGTGCTGGCGGGCACCGTGGGAATCCCCCCCGCCCCTGCCAAAATCACCCACCCTCCTCACTCCTCTGTGGTGATTTGCAGGATCCTGCCTGCCGCAAATTGATTTTCAGCTCTTGGAAAGTTCCCGTACGAAGCCAAAAGGCGGGCACGCATTGGATTTCCTCCTCAAGCTGCTCTCGCACATGAAACAAAGGAAAAAAAAAACCTGAGAAATCAATAGGTCCATAACCCAGCTAATATCTCCATCCATCAGGGGACCCGACGCAGAGCTAATAATAGACCCCGACACGCTCAGCTCCTGCGCCCTGTTACCAAACTGCACCTTGACACACTGCCAAGAGCGAGGGGCACCGGGGATGGTGGGGGAACGCACCGGGGAGCCTTCGATGGAGTTATCGCCTCCCCAGGTGCCATCCTTAACAGGGAAAAGCTGACAGTGGGTGGCTCGAAAAGCCAAACGTTGACCTTCGATGAGCCCCGAGAGGGACGCGCCGCAAGCCGGACGGTGATGGATGATGCAGGCGGCCATTCACATCCAGAAAACTTCATTTCATGGGAGCTGTGATTTGATTTAGAGCTCGGAGAGCAGCATCCAATTAGCCTGAGGTTTGGAGCGAGCAGGCTGCCTCGGAGAATGACCCCAGGCAGGGAGGGACCAGCCCTGGGGACCCTTTGGTCACCTCCATGACCAAGTGGCGCTGCCTTGAGGACAGGCTGGGCTTCCACGTGCCCCATCTCCGGCATTCCCGTTTCTGGGGCTGCCAGGATCAGTGTTTCACCAACCCTGCTCAGGAGCCAGGCTGCTGCTTATTAGAGTAGAGAATGTTAAAAAGAAAAAAAGACAAAAATTAAAATGAACCAGAAGAGAAGTGCTGCCTTTCCTCATCTCTTTGGAGGTGATGCTTTCAGAGAGGAGGAAGTTTCCTACCCTCCTCCCCCCAAATCCTACCCAGTTCGTGCCTATAAAATAGTTTCTGCCTGTAAAACGGCCTTCTCTAACCCACAGCTCTCTTCCGCAGGGATGCAGAAGGTGATGTAATGCCTCTCGGAGAAGGAGCATGAGCCCCAATCTCAGAAGTAACTGAGGTCTTGGGAATTATAAGGTAAATAAGCCCAGAAAGGGGCAGGACAACAACAACAACAACAGCCTTTTCCAGCCTTGCAGAGGCCATACAACAGCCCCAGCAGCTGCATCTCTGCTGCTGGGAATCAGCCCATCTCCATTTTCCATCCACTCCCCACAAGCACATCCCAGCCTGCCAGGAAAGGGGCATTTTGGGCTCAGCTTCCCCCAGGCTCAGGCACTGCACAGTCCCACCACCCCATCCCAACAAAAAGCCATACATTTTTGGGGTGTCTCCTAAAAGCCTCAGGCTGCACTGTGAGCCGAGCTGAGCCCTGCGGCTCCTGCTCCCGCAGTGGGATGGGATGCAGAGGCATTGTAGGGGGATGCACAAGCCGAACTCCCTGGGGCACAGTCCCATTTCTCCTTCTGGCTTAAAAAGGGAGTCAAGAGTTGTTACAATATTTAAATATCCCACACTGAGCAGATGCCTTGGCGCTCGCTGCTCACCTGGTCCTGGGTGGCTCAGGAGAGGGGGCTACGACCCAAAGGCGGGCATGGGGACCCCCTGGCACACAAACCATTGCTGAATAAAATCAGGATTTATATGAGCAGGGCTGCATTACCCTCCCTGCCCCTCGGTGGCTTTCAGGAAGCGATTTGAGATGCTAGGCAGCAGTGTCATGCTGTCCCCGATGGGGACGGGAGCAGGCAGAGGAAGGGTCCCCGGCCGTATCGAACTCCTCCGGGCCGGCGTGCAAAACCACCTGCTGCAGAGACACATTTTCTTTAATTGATGTCACCTCGCAGCACAAAGTTATGGCCTGAAAAGTGACTCTGGGAACAAGCGGCACCGCAGGCTTCTGTATTTATTCTCCTTCAGTGACGTCCATAGCAGATTTGCATGGTTTGCAAGTCGATGGCGAGGTTTTTGCCAGCTGCCAGCACTCTCAGCCCAGCTGAGCAACTCCCATCCTTCCTCTCCCAGCATGTCCCACCAGCCCCAAGCTCCCCCCATCCAACAAGGGCTGAACGCTAACACGGGACACGGGAGCAGGTTTTAGGCTTGGGCAGAGCACAGCTATTTGCCGCGAGCATCATGCCGAACCTTGCCGGCGAGTCCTGCCCCAGGCCGGGCTCTGCTCTCCCAGTTTTGCTCTGCAGCTCACGGGCTAATTCAATGAAATGTCTGCCTGGTAAATTAGCCCGGCCGCTGCCTTACCAGAATCATCTCCCAGGGCCTAATTGGAAAACAACAGCATCAGGGGCTGCCTTTTCAAAACAGACTATGGCAGCAAACAACAGGGCAGCTCCTGGGCGGCTGCGGCCTGCCCCACATGGGCTCAGCCCAGCAGGATTTGGGTGGATTAACCCACAGCTGCAAACCTCGGTAAGGGGGGAGGACACGAGCAGCGCAGCGTCCCCCAGCTGTGGGGCAGGACGGGTGCATGGGGAGGGCTGATGCCCTGCAAATTTGTTGCATGTCAGATGCTCCGTGCTGCAAGGCATAAGGGGACAAGCAGAGTCATGGGGGAGCAGAAACGAGGAGATACCCCCCTCCCAAATGAGCCAAGCCCAAATGAAATTTCAGCCAAAGAGTGATGGCAACATGGGATGCAAGAGGATGCAGGGGGCTGCAGCCAGCCGACAGCCCTCCAGCAGCCCTCTCCAGCCCCAGCACTCATCCCTGGGCTTCTTGCCCAGATCCCAAACCACTGGGTCACTTTGAAGCCTTTAAACTCTTAATTGAGGGATCCACAGGGGTTGCCAGGGAGCTGAACCTGCTGCCCACCCTAGGCCCTGCGAACACTGATTTTTGGAGGAGTCACAAATTGCTGTTTTGATTTACCCTTGCACATAAGTGTGCTTAAGTGGCATCATTTTTTAGGGGGCCAGGATGGGGCCAGCCCCTTCTGACTTTTGATATGCTGTTAATAAATATATTGAGAAAAAAGCATCTCTAAGGCATAAAAATCGCTCGTGGCACTGGGCAACCGGAGCAGTCGCGCTCCCTCCTGCAGCAATAACACCCCCAGGAGCGGCGCTGGGCTCTGTGGCTGGTTCTGCCCAAGTTACATTTGAGTTTGGACGAGCCTGCGGACAGAAATCACAGCGGCAGTTTGGAAAACTTTGATTTCAGCCTGCTGCAGAGAACACCAAAAAAAGGCTTTTCCCTGCAGAAAGGGCGTTTTGTGCGACCCATTACCTACATGAGGCTTTTTCATGCCTGACCCCTTTCCTGCCTCGAGCCGCGCGGGGTTTGGCCCAGCTGTTTTGCAAGGGAAACCGCAGCCAACACCCGGCTCCTTCTTCCCGGCCACCGCAAGGACAGCCAGGTCGCAGAGGTGACACCGTCCTCCAGCTGAGGCTCCGATGATTTGCAGTCAGTCATCAAAACCGAAAATCCCGTGCGCTGCCGCAAGCCTGCCCTTGCTTCCCCTCCACCACCCACACCAGCTCCCTGGGGCTCCCCACTGCCTCCTCCCAGCCCCGCTCCTCCCCAGCCAAGGGATGGGAAAGAAAAAATACCAACAAGGTTTTGAAACCAGCTCTTTCCTTGCAAAAGCTCTGTCGAAAAGGCAAGATATTAATTGCAATTAACAAAAAAATCAAACCACTTCAAGGGTGGAAGCTGCCAGCCAGACCCCAGCTCCTTCCTGCTGCTAATGCCACGCTCCTGACCCCCCGAGCCCAGGAGATCCCCTCTCCTGGCTGTCCAGCTCTGCTGAAAACCACCTTCTTGCCAACCCAGGTTTGCCCCCTCGCACACCGGGCCTCATCCTGCCCCGCGGGAGCCCAGGAGAC